CTGACCGGAGCCAGTGGAAGGCCAAAGGCCCGGCGAAGATCTGTTTAGGATTTAGGGTTTGGGGCAGGGTTTAGGGTTTAGGGTTTAGGGTTTAGGGTTTAGGGTGGAGGGTTTAGGGTTTAGGGTCTGGGGCAGGGTTTAGGGCTAAGGGTTTAGGATTTAGGGTGTAGGTTTTAGGGTTTAGGGTTGGTGTGGGATGGGGCCAGGGTCTTGGGCTTCTTCTGACTCTGGGTTTAGGCGCTTCTTCTTTCAGTTTGCTTACATAGAGCAAAAAAACCCTAAACCCTATACCGACTCCTTGTAAGGTTTCTAGAGCTTTTAGGGTTTAGGGTTTAGGGTTTCTTGCAAGGCTTCTAGAGATTATCCAGGGTTTCTTTACATCTCGCACAGAGTTGAGGGCTAAACCCAAAGCCCCAGAGACCCCGCCAAAACCCTAAACCCTAAACCCTAAACCCTAAACTCCTAAACCCTACCCAAACACCCCCCCAAAACCCGAAGGCAGCGTTCCGGGCTTGCGGCTGGGAGTTTATAGGGTTTAGAGTTACTTTTTGGCTTTTCTGGGTGGATTTTTTGAGTTTAGGGTTTAGGATTCAGGGTGGTAGGGCTTCAAGTTTAGGGCTTGGGGTCCTGAGATTTTGAGAAAAGTGCGTAGAATCTCAGCTTAGGGTTTCGGGTTTGGGGGCTAGGGTCTTTAAGTGATTTGGGTTCCAGTCAGATCTTTGCAATAAGGGTTCGATGGCGCTGGAATTAGAAGGTGAGGGGGCCCTCTTCCGATCATAGGGTAGCCATATTCAGACAGGGACCCTTTTAGGGTTTTAGGTATGGGTTTAAGGTTTAGGGTTTGCGGTTTGGGTTAGGGTTTTATGGTTTTAGGTCTGGCTTTAGGGTTCAGGGCCATACGAGTCCCGGCTTGCGAGAGTCGAAACCGCGTCGTGGTCGGCGCGGGTTGATGAAGCCGGGGAGCTTCGAAGTAATGTAGGGGCCTTAATAATAAGAACAGGTTTTCGGGCATGCTTCACGGTAATGAAAATAAGGAACCCCAAGTAATACCATTGGCAACTACTGCGGCCCCTACATTATGCTCTAAACCCCGAACCCTCAGGACACCCCTCAGGAACCAGCATGACCAACGGAACCCAGCGCCCTATAGAACCCCTATTTCAGGAACCCCGGCATAGAATGCCTTATAGGACACCCCTTTTGGAGCTCTTCAAGGGCAACCCGAATTGAAACCTTGAAGGAACCCAAAAAACCCAAACCCCAAACCCTAAACCGAAACTCTGAAAGGACAGCAAAACCCCAAACCCTAAACCTCAAAACCCCAAACCCTAAACCNNACCCTAAACCCTAAACAGCAAGCCCAAAAACCCTGAAAAGAACCCAAGAACCCCGTTCTGGGCCGCTGGCTGCACCAGAGGCGGCGCCCAGCCAGCCGAGATTCGCTGACGACTGCTGGCCCTCAGCCACAAGTTCCAAACCCTAAACCCTTTAGGGTTTA